CTCCCCACAGAGTCTTGCCGCGGTCCTACGGGTTGCAATCCCGCCTGCCGCCTTCCTCCCGTAACCAGGATTAGACTGAGAGTTAAAAAGGCAGATAGAGGACTTTTTGAGACTCTCAGATCCAAGAGGGGTGCACTAAGACCCACAAGAGAGGGCCTTGTTGCCTTGATTCGCCTGAGGGCCCCGCAATGATGGCCCACGACTACAGCACTTGGTCAAACCGAAATCAAACGGCCGACAGTTAGTTCGCAGCAATAACCCCTTTCACAAGCCTGATCATCCCACCAGGCCCCTGGCCAGTCCTCCAAGCCGAAGTCGCAGCCTCTCTTGCAGTCTAACCACTATTCCTCGCACTACACCTCCACCCTCCAAAGTGGTGTTGCAATCATATGGCCTCCAAACAACCGCAGTCAACGCAGCGCAGCAGCCCGCAGCAGGCTCAACGACCGCTATAGCAGACAGCGCAATTTGGAAATGAACCGCGCGATATACAACCAGCGCAACAGCGAATCAGCACGTTCCGAAACAGCCTACAGCCACAGTACTAGCAGGCTCCCGCAGTCGCCCAACACTTATTGCTGCAGCATAGCGGTCAAAGTGGCCTACTCTTCAGAGCTCATGGCGAAGAAATAGCACAGGATACCGCAGTTCTCAATCAGTGGTCAACAACAACATCCCTTTTCGAGCGTAGTCACTCCTCCAAGTCTCAGCAACTTACCTTAGAACGGTCACCGCTACATACTACACCGTAACGCAGGTAACTTCCCAAACTCCCTATGAGAATTTCGTGTCCGCGCAGCTGCAAGGTGCCGCCACAACCTATGGTGCTAGCCTCAACACACCACCAACTGTGCTCAGAAATGCATAGTAACTAGCATCCCTTATAGCATATTGGGACAACTTAGTACAAGGGGGAGGGACGAAAGATGGGGACTCAACAACAGTATGGGCCAATCACTTCTCAAGGTAGAAGATTCAGTAATTGAATATTTGTAACAATGGACACACCATGCATAAAAGCTGATCCCAATGACCGAGAAGGCTTATGAGTATGAAAGGCGAGTTCGCGGCGACCGATAGCAAGACCCCCAAGATGTTGTCAACACATCGTGCAAAAGGTCCRCACTGGTCTCGGGGATCCCGACAGCCAGTGACAGCTCCGGCGAGCTCACTCCCTCACGTAGCTCGGCTTTCAAATCGCCAGCCAGCCTGGTAAGTATTACCCTCACCTCCCTTGTCTTCTGCTGCATGCACCTGCCCGAACAACGGGGCAGGTGCAGTCACATGTAAGTGTTCAACTTCACGGCTGGCCCCCTCACAGCCCCTTTCCGACTAGACTGAGCATCGCCCCGCCCAACAGGTAGGTCGCAGTCCCCTTCGTGGATGGACTCCCGCTACTCCCATCAATAAATCAAGTAAAATTCGAATGAATGTTCTGCTAGAACATGGAAATATACTCTGCTCTCCTACCACGTGCGCAAGGAGATTGGGGGAGGCTACTTACATTGGCAGGAAAAGCAAAATCGAACGAATCCACCTCTATAACAGGGAAAAATACCCTGCTGCCCAGCCTTGCGTACAAAAAGACAGTGCAGTTACGTTCGCCGGTACGAGGAGCAAGATCGGATGAATCTCCTGCTAGAGCGCCTAGATGTACACTGTTTTCATCGCCTCGTGCCTGTCAGGTAAGCCCCCCTGTTTTTCCCGTCAGCACAACAGCTGCAGGGCGTGAAGATGTCGACCCCGTAAGCCAAAGCCAATGCCAGGTACATACTCTTGCGTCATCGCCCTCGCTGTGCACAGGCTCGACCCCTGCCTTTTCCACTGCTGCGTTCACTCGGACTTAATGAGAGTGAACCTTCTCTCTCTCTCTCTCTCGTACACCCTCACAAACACTCTTGACTTAAACTCTGCCCTGACTCACCCGCTTTCTTCCTCTTTAACTCCTAGCCTTCATTCGCCCGCCTCGCTGCTCGTCTTGTAAGCTTTCTACTGCACCTTTGTAAGCGCCTGCCCCTTACCGTTTGTACGACCAGGTTCATTCGAGATCATAGGAGGGAGAACATCGCGACAGCCACGTGCTTTAGAGAGAGAGCTCGGACGACCCATAGGTAAGTCGCTAACCCCCGCTGCTCACCTGTTACTATCTTTAATAGAATGAGTAAAGACGAATGAATCTGATGTCCAAACCCGGCCGAGAAGATTAGCATGGCCCCTGCGCAAGGATGACACGCATAAATCGAGAATCCAGCCCAGCCGATGGCATGGAACACCCTGTGTCTACCCAAAGCCAATGGGCCAGATCCCACTGGCAAAGAGGATTGGAAGACATGTCTGAAATCTGGACGTGTTTGTGGACAGGTGCGAAAAATTGTGATTAATCTACTTTTCTGCACCTCTCTATGGAACACGTCCAGATTCAGACATTTCTTCCAATCCTCTTTGCCAGTGGGATCTGGCCCAATGGCGGGCTTGGTTTGCTAGATCCGTATGTTCAGACACTGTCGCTGCTTTCGAAATGGATAAGCAAGGTGGCTTCAGCAGACCCTCAAGCAGACTGGTGTTTACTGGCCGAGGAGATTCTGTGTGAGCAATGGGGGCTATCACGTGCTTCTGATGTCTGGGTAGCAGTGATGTTCGGGGGTCCTGATCACTCCAAATCTTCAGATGATTGTGAATCCAATAAGAGACAAAAAGTAGAATGCCAAAATATGTAATAACTCAGAGGTTTCCATTGAACAAAATGCCCTGGTCCAGGGCCCAGCACCTCCTAACCAACCCAAATTTCACCACCCTTCATGCATCAGGTGACTGAAATGAAATGAGAATGGAATTCGATGATAATGAAGTCCAACTGATTGCAGGTTGTGGTGGCTGGAGCGGCTCCTAGGACAGAGCGTAAGGAAGGCTTCACAAAGTGGATCTCTTCCGAGCGGTTCCTATGAAGAAGGATTGTTGAGGAGTGTTGAGTTGATAGCAGATCATGGAGTGAAAGGCAACACAGATCGGGAGAGGGGTCGACTGTTGTGGAACTTCAGCCAGTGGCTGATCCAGAAAGGAGTTGGAAGAAGTTTGAGTGATTGTATTGATTTAGATATTCTTGCCTTTGTAGAAGGATGCTTAATTCCTGACTTACATAGTCGATCGAGAACCAAGGATCGTGATGGTCAGAGCTTCGTTGCAGTTAGTACCTTAGAAGGAAATTTTTGTAATCTAAATCGGTGCTTTGAACTCCTAGGTCGAGAAGGCAAGGAGAACCCTTGTCAGTCAATTAAGGTTCAGATGTATCGTCGGGCTTATCGCAACAAGGCGGTGAGCCTAGGAGTTCATGAAGAGCAGGCTTCGCCTATGACACTAGAAAAAATGTTTGTTCTTCGAGAGTGTATTCGCTCATACATGAAGTTACAGAAAGGTTGGGAATATGCCGAATCGCTTCGAGACCTTTGCATCATGACTTATCTCTGGGAAAGTTGGCAACGAGGTGGAGAAGGACTTCGATTAGAAAATAATGACATTGATGTGGACACACAATTGGCTCAACCTAGGTACACAAAAACGCAGCGGAGAGGCAAGTCCGTAGTTATCAATCTAGAAAAACCTGTTGGTCTTGGAGATACCTTCCTTGAATTATTCGAAGAGATGAGTAAATGCTATCTTGAAGTAGGTGAAGATCTTCGAACTGGGTCCATCTTTCAGGGTCGTCGGTCTCGAAGTGCCTTGACCTTGAATGCCTTCAACAAACGCTTGAGAACCTGGTTTGATCGAGCTGGGCTGCATGGATCCGGAAGCAGTCATAGTTTCCGAGTTGGAGGCGTCCATGAGGGAATCCGCCGTGGATGGACCTTGGAGCAGATGCTGACTCAAGGGTCATGGAAAAGTTTCTCTTCCTTCATTCGGTATGGCTATGGCTGTCATTCCCGTGGGAGTCGTGGGCAGTGAGATCCTTCTGGCCAGTAGCTTGAAGGTGCCCGGATTGAGAGTTCTCCTGGGCACCCTGAAGCTAGGCAAGCAAGAGGAAGGAACATTTGGGATTTCGAAAGTTCCTGAACAACTCATTGCTGCCACAATGGGAGACCATGCCGCCTTTGGTGCTGAAGGGGTGATGAGAAGGTACTCTCCTCCAAATGCTTTCATTCTTCTGACCACTTGGCAGAGTAATGACGTTGGTGGGAAGAGCCATAGGTCAGAATCCGATTGGAATTCTTGCCAATTTAAGGCTAATGCATCGACATCATTACAATCTTCGCACCAAAGTTCAGAGACAAAACAGTTAGACACATGATGCGTCTGAGATGCAAAAAGGTCCGCCGCGGGGATTCCAAATTTTCTGAAAATTTGGGCTACCGGGTAGGGAGCCAACCCCCAATCCGTTGGATCCTTCCACTTTGAGAGGATGTCTGCTTCAGAGTTGAGGGAGCGAGGAACTCAAATGGGTTTTAGTTGCCCTTGGGTATCCAGGAGTATCGAAGCAATCTTCCTGAGTAGGATGTTCATCCTTGCGTTCGGTGTCCTCCAATTCTTGAGTAGCGCGATTACACCAGCGTTGTCTCCAACAATCTTGACAGCACCGTCCTTGGAAGGTAGAGCGAAATGTCTGTGAACAAAAGAGAGCGCAGCCAATACTCCAAACAATTCTCTGTGAGTACTGGAGGTTAGGAGTCAATCATTTGGGAGAGGTAAGCTTAGTTTTTTTTCCCTTCCATTAGTAGGATGGATGATTGCTCCAATTGCATGATCCGATGCATCCGTTTAAATTGTTATTTCAATGGACTTGATCTTCCAGCTTCTTCCCGAGAGGTGAAGAATATTGTTCAACCACCAATTGAGATCATATCTTACTTCGTCAGAGAGTGGGATAGGAGCATCCCAGGCGTCCAGATTTATTGCCTTGTGAAGATGAAAGCAAAAGGTGACTGCAGGTTGAAAGGCATTGGCCAGTGCTGCCAGTTTTCCTGCGATGGAAGAGATTTCTCTGCTCGGAGTGGTTGACTTGGAGAGCATTAGTTGGATATGATTGCAGATTCTGAGAGTCTTTTCTTCAGGAATTGCTGTTAATTTAAGATGAAAGTCGACATTGAAACCAAGGAACTTCACACACTGGGAAGGGAGAAAGGAACACAGCGGCCATCAAACCCCCATCAAGAGACGCCCCAATATCAGCGCCCTCATCGTCGTCGTCATCGTCATCGTCATCGTCGTCGTGCTCGTCCGGGGTGCTTTCCACGCCAACGGCCTTGTCCCCCCTCATCTTACCCCTGCCGCGCTCCGCCTCTTGCCGCACCTCGATGTCTTGTGAATCACTGTCACTATCACCACCTCCCCCCTCGGCCGCCCTCCTCTCGTCCTCGCTATCGTCGTACTTCTCCTCCCCCGCCTGCTCCCTCCCCGAAGTATTCTTATTGTCTCGAAACCCACGAGACCTGAGGAAGTCGAGGATCTTCCGATGGTGGCTGTGATCGAACGAGTAATTTGTCTTGTTCCAAATCTCCGCGAGCTGCTCCACGGTGACTTTAGAACAGTTGTCTTTTATTGTGAAGTGTTGTGCGGCCTTCGACTTACTGCCATGAAACCCCCGGCCGCACAATTTGCACTCCATGAGAAAATTCCCATTGGAGTTTGGCAGTGTTTGCCCCTTCGTGATCCACTTGAACCCGCAGAACTTCAGCTCCGCCTGCCTCTGTTTGTCGTTGCTAACTTGGACAAACGGCTGCTCTCCCCTCCCTTTCCTGGATGCAATTGTACGCACCCCGCACACAACTGCACCTGCGGCCCTCAGAAGTGGGCCCAACCTGGAAAGGGGCCGGACCGCTCCCCTCCCCCCCCCCCCCCCCCCCCCCCGGAACCCGTCGCCTTGCAGAAGTCCCGGAACGCATCTCCCCAGCACCCGACGCCTTAAGCGTACGGGCCGTACAGACGGAACGGTCCGTACGTACTCGCCGGATGTACAGGAGCACGGAAGATCACCCGTACGTACGTCGAGACACGTGGCGCTCGCACAGGCACCGCCGCTTCACGACATCGCCGTCCCCGCCGTCGCCATAGCCGTCACCGTCATCTTCGTCGAAGCTCTCTCTCTCTCTCTCTCTCTCTCTCTCTCTCTCTCT